TAAGGCACTTGACTGCTAACCAGAAGGTTGGTGGTTCAAACCCACCAGCCACTCCTTGGAAGGAAGATGGGGCAATCTACTTCTGTAGTCTGCCTCGGAAACCCAAGGAGGGGTCGCTATGAGTCGGGTCCAACTCGACAGCACATAACAACAATAACAACAACCAGTAGTATATGAGGGTTTCATTGTCACCACACCCTCAGCAGGATTTACTGTTTTCTATTTTCTTGAACTTTGCTATTAAAGCTAGAGTGAAATGCTTTGTCATTGCTCCTTTGATTTGCATCTCTGTAATGGCTACTGGGGAAGCTCTGGTGACATAGTGCCTAAGACATTTGACTGCTAACCAGAAGGCTGGCGGTTCAAATCTACCAGCCACTCCCTGGAAGGAAGGTTGGGCAATCTACTTCCTAGTGATACTGCCTCAGAAACCCAAGGAGGGGTCATTATTATGAGTCAGACCCAGTTCCAAGGCAGTGAGTTTGGTTTTGAATGGCTACTGATTGTGAGCAGTTCCGCATGTGTTTATTGGCCACCTGAATGTCTTGTTTGGTGAAGTGTCTGTTCCGCTGCCCATTGTTAGTCAGATTATTTGTCTTTTTGTTGTTGAGGTGTTGAAATTTTCTATAAATTTTAGAGATTACTCCTTTGTCTGATATGTTGCCAAATTTTTTTCCCCAGTTTGTAGGCTCTCTTTCTGCTCATTTGGTGGAGTCTTTTGATGAGTGTATATGTTTAATTTTAGGAGGTCCCAGTGATCTAGTTTTTCTTCCGCTGTTTGTTATGGTTGATAGTGTATTTATGCTATATATTAGGCTCCCTTAATTTGCCCCTATTTTTCCTTTGACTCATGTTAAAACTCTTTTAGGAGATTCCTTGCCTCCTTTCTCTTTGCTTCTTCTCTCTTCTTGCCTCTTTTGCTTGTTTTCCTTTTCTTAAGCCTCTGTGCTGTTGGCTGCTGATAGAAGCAAACTCCTTGTCAATGTCAAAGCATGGCCTTCCCAGTAGGGCCACAAACTGACTAATTCTCATAGTCACTTCATTTGCATAGTCTACAGTCACTTCATTTGCAAAATATATTGGCCAATCCCTGCAAGGTGTGTACCAATTCCTGCAAAGTGTGCAGCCCAGTGCCAGACAAAAAGTATCCAACTATCAAGTTGTTTACAGCTTACTTAGAAAATGTCCATCAACCTGGACAAAAGTAATTAACTCTCTGCAGCAGGAAACTAGGGTAAAAGTAATCCCTCAGGGCTATGGGAAAAATATCTCAAGGTGTTTTTCCAAAGAACCAAAGAAAAAGGCCACATAAAAGAATTCATTTCATCACAGCACTCAACCCACTCCAGTGGCTTTTAATAGATACTAGTGTTAGTTGTGGTATGCCTTGATGACTGACATTTATATTTTCAAGTTTATATCGAACACCAACTAACCTTCAGCAAGTAATTTCACCACACTGAGCTCTGTTTTGTTTTGTGTTTAATTGAAAAAATGAGATACTAGATGGTCCTTTCCACTCTTTAATTTTGTGCTTCTGTGGAAGCAGGATGGAGAATTGAGGTAATTATCTAGTTATCGAGCACCTTGTGTATACCAGATGCTCAACGCATGTTGGAGAATAATGGTTACTTTATCCTCCTTACCCAGTTATTGCTTTTGATATGACTTTAATATATATGCTTTACTTTTACTTTTTTCCTTAATTTGTTTCACATAAATTCAGTTTAAGCAATATTTATGTGATATGCAAAAAGTGTTGCCAAACATGCGGACTTATAAATGTGAATGATGCATAGTCCCAGCGCTCAAGTAGCTTAAAATCTAACATCAGGAATGAGACAAATAAACAGTGAACTCTAAAAAGAAAGAAGTCCATGAGCAAACAAGAAAGGTGCCATGAAGAATAGGAATTTGAGATTGTTGGGAAGGATAAATTGGACTTTGAGGCAGGTATGGTAGACATAATGAACTGGAGCAGTTTCCATAAAGGAAATTCACCAAGGCTAGAAGGTAGGGTTTGATCTTTGAGAACAGCAGTTTATCCAGTTTGGCTGAAGTATAAAATATGCATAGAGAACTATTAGAGTTGTAATAGGAGCTCTGGTGGCATAGTATCTAAGGCATTTGACTGCTAACCAGAAAGCTGGTGGTTCAAATCCACCAGCCACTCCTTGGAAGGAAGACTGGGCAATCTACTTCCATAGAGATACCATCTTAGAAACCCAAGGAGGGATCACCATGAGTCGGTGATCCTTTCTATTATTACAACTCTCACTCACACTCACTCTACAGCAGTGAGTGAGTGTGAGTGAGAGTTCTAATAATAGCAAGGAGTTTGAGGACACTAGAGCTTTAAATGTTATTCTTAATAGTTTGAGCATAATTTTTAGCTTGGAAGGCATATTATTGTGCTCTTGCTAATGGGCCTTAATGATTCTTCCTACCTCAAACTTTCTTTTCCTGTCTTCTCTGTTTCTGTCACTATCCCAGTACTCTAGCAATGAACCCCCTGTAAGCTCAGTGTCTGGCCTTCCCTTTTCCTCTCTCCTCAATCTTTTGAACATATTCAACTGAAATTCAGACCACAGACAAAAGTGGTGTACCTTCCCCAAATTCCTCCTCAGTTCAGTCCTGTAGTTCCACTTCCTCAAGGGACATCTCTACATACAAGCCTTGTAAATAAGACTTTGGAACCTCCTGAAATCTAAACTCTTCTCTGCATGGCTCCTCTGAGAACCAAGAACCATGTCTGCTTATTATTGGTAAATGAATGAGTAAAGAAATGAAGGAATGGAGTGAGTGAATGAATAAGTCTGTGGAGAAAGGTACAGACAACACAGAAACCCATGTAGATCATTGTATCCTTAAAATATGTCAACATGGTGCTTGTCATTTCCCTAGGTGGATTTTCTGAAGAGGCAGAAATACCTGGCATCAAATATATTCTCTCTCCCTACAAACTGAATTTGGTTGCTACTCCTCTTTTCTTGAAGCCTGGGATTCCATATTCTATCAAGGTAGATGAGGGTGGGAAAAAAACAAACCCTGTTGAATACGATTATTTCTGTTCATGGAAACCATGGGAGTGGCAAAGGGAGGAAGGTTTCTGGGGAGGGAATCAGTGAGGGAGCTCACGCTGTAGAATCTGCTCCTCCTGTAGAGTGCTGAATCAAGGATGAGAAAACAGCACTTCAGCCTTGGGTGTGATTCCAATCCTCAGGGCAAGTGTCATTGTCTAGAAAGACAGTCCTAGGTTCCAAAAACCAAGCCCATTGCTGCTGAGCAGATTCCAACTCATAGTGACCCTATGGGACAGAGCAGAACTACCCCCATAGGTTTTCCAAGGCTGTAAATCTTTACAGATTGCAGTGTAGCTGGTGGGTTTGCATCGTCCACCCCACCCTTCGGTTAGCAGCCTAGCACTTAACCACCACCTCCAGGGCTCCATAGCCTTGCCTTAGGCACTCCCTGAGTAAGCACTGCATTCATTATATTTAAATGAAACCCCTAAAGTCTATAATTTGAAAAATACTAGAATTTTAGACACAACTCCTCTCAGCAAGTTCAGGAGCCCTAGTGGCTGGTGGTTAAGCCTTCATTGGTAACCAAAAGATGGGTGATGGGGATCTACCAGTCTCTTCGCGGGAGGAAGATGTGACAGTCTGCTTCCATAAAGATCACAGCCTTGGAAATGCATGAAGCGAGTTCTACTCTGTCCTGGAGAGTCGCTATGGGTAGGAATGAACTTGATAGCAATGGGTTTGGTTTTTGGTTTTGGTGACAAGTTCTTAAAAAGCCTTAAGATGGAGATATTATTCTTTGAAATAGACCCCTTCTCTTACCCTTAATTTTCTTCCTGTATATCTGAGTATACATTTCTGTGTTTTTACTCATCCCTGTATTCTCTCTGTGCTTAACTGTCTGATCTTTTGTCTCTCTGTGTCGCTCTCTGTCCTTTTCGTGTAGACTCTTTCTGTCTTCACACTCTCTTCTCTTTTTTGTTTCCTTCTTCCTTTTAAATTTTCCTCTCATTCCTCTCCTTTCCCTTTTTAACATGCTGTGATAATATGGAGTTGAAACATTCATTTGAGCTTTAATTATATTTATTAAATTGAAATGTTTGTTCCCTTTTATTAACTTAGAAAGCTAGAGCGGAATGTTTTCTTTTCTAATTTCTTTGAAAATGTGTTGCTTTTAAAAATCAACTTTAGTGTAATTAAAATTTGTTACTTTTTACTTACTGTGAGTCACTGGCTTTTAAGAGTAAAAGATTCTGACATGTCAAAAGCAAGCTTTGAACATGCTTGTAGAAATATTTAATATATAATATATAATGTTACATGTATACATATATATGCATATGTGTATATACATATATATTACATATATAAAGTATTAGTATATAAAACCAGACTAACTGCCATCGAGTCAATTCCAACTCATAGCAACTGCCATTGGGTTTCTGAGGTGGTATATCTTTATGAAGTAGAGTGCCCCATCTTCCTTCCAAGGAGCAACTGGTGGGTTTGAATTGTCAACCTTCTGTTCATCAAATGCCTTAGGCACTATGCCACCAGAGCTCCTTATAGAATATTGTATTTATATTTAAATAATGTAAATACTATGTAAAAATAATATAAAGTATATCTTTGTGTGGAAATTAGGCATGATCATATTCATGGTATGGCGCTCTGGTGGTATAGTGGATAAGGCATTTGGCTGCTTACCAGAAGGTCAGTGGTTCAAATTCACCAGCTGTTCTGCAGAAGGAAGATGGGGTGATCTGCTTCTGTAAATATTTACCACTTCAGAAACCTAATGGGGGTCGCTGTGAGTCAGAATCAAGTCAATGGCTGTGAGTTTTGAGTTTTTAATATTCATGGTAGTGAGAGGCAGAGGTCAAGGAAAAAAAAAAAAAAGATGCCTTTATTCATGTGTTTCTCGAAATCAAGACTCATTCCCAGAAGTGCTTGCCTTATTATTTCCTTTATCCACTCCCAAGCCAATTGAAAAAAATACAGAATTAAGATAGTAGAAGACCTTATCACATCTACTCCTGGGCAGACTTAATCGAATGATATTTATGTTCTGAATCTGCCTGATGTGCAGGAGAATCCATTCAAGAATGATTTAACAAAATAAAATTAAACTTTTCTAAAGCTGAGAACATGCTTCTCTTTATTTAATAAACATGAATAATTTATACTTGGGTGGGGAAGGGAAATTATTTCAGAATTTTTAATGCTTTAAGAGAAGTGATGAGCTGTTGAAATGGATTTGGACTGTTCTGACAAACAGGTGCAGGTTAAGGATTCACTCGACCAGTTGGTTGGAGGGGTCCCCGTAATCCTGAATCCAAAAACAGTGGATGAAAACCAAGAGACTTCTGACCTGGAGTCAAAGAAAACTGTAACACATGTCAATGATGGAGTAGCTTCATTTGTGATTAACCTCCCATCTAATGTGACAGTGCTGAAGTTTGACGTGAGCTGAATTCTTCTGTTATATTTTCTAGGACAGTGTGTACTTTTGACTGTGTGTTTTGGCTGATGTGCAGAACAGATTTTATACATGAATCCAGTCAACAGTTCTGCAATTTTGCATCAAAAAAATGAGCACCAGACACAATCTGCTAATCCACAGAATGATTCTTGAGGAAGATAAATCTGTCAATTTTGTATTCGTGAATTACAACTTTTATACCATGTAAGGCAATATTAAGGAATCTTAGTGGCACAGCAGTTAAAGCACTCAACTGCCAACCAAAAGGTTAGTGGTTCAAACACACCAGCTACTCTGCAGGAGAAAGGTGTGGCCGTCTGCTTCTGTAAAAATTTATGGCCTTGGAAACACTTACAGGACAGTTCTACTCTGTCTTATAGGGTCATTATGAGTTGAAATCAACTTGACAGTATATATGAGTATATAAGACTATATTAGAATGTAGAAGCTTCAGAGTAGGTAGTAGCAGTGGACATCAGTGGTGGGAGAATGTGTGCCCCTTCCCCCAACACACACTATTTGTCTCTTTTCAGGGACAAATGAATCAAATGTGGAAGCCTTCCTTTTTACTAACTGCAATCTTTATAGAAGCCAACTACCACATCTTCCTCCAGCCAACTGCTGACCTTGTGGTTATCAACCCAGTGCTTAACTACTGTGCTGTCAAGACACCTTAAGTTAATGACAAAAACTTAAACCAAACTCACCTGCATCGAATCAATTCCAACTCATAGCTACTCCCTTTGGGTTTCCAAGGCTATAAATCTTTACAGAAGCAGACTTCCCCATCTTTCTTCTACCAAGCAGCTGGTGGGTTCAAACCACTGACCTTTTGGTTAGCAGTCAAATACCTTAACCATTACACCACCAGAGCTCCATAAGTTAATGACTAAAAAACTCAATACTGTCAAGTCGATTGCAACTCATAGCAGCCCCTCCTTGGGTTTCCGAGGTGGTATCACTACAGAAGTAGATTGCCCAACCTTCCTTCTGAGGAGTGGCTGGTAGGTTTGAAACACCAGCCTTCTGGTTAGCAGTCAAGTGCCTTAGGCACTATGCCACCAGAGCTCCCACACCATCATCTATTGAACACTTAATAAGTGCCAGGCATTGTGCTAAGAACTTTGTATAGAATACATTTAATACTCACTTAATCACCTCTATGAGTTAGAGAAAATAATCTATGTCATTTTGTGTCAGAGGAAGCAGAAGCTTCTACCTCTCTTGTGATTAAACAAGTATCCAGAGTTAATAAGTGGCATCACTGGATGCAAACCAATGCGAGTCTGACTCCACAGTGTCGGATGAAACTGGGGCAGATAGTCTAGCCAATGGTGTTCATTCACAACCCCTGTCCTCCAGTTCTCAAGAGTTAGTGCTACCTCCTCACTGTTTCGCCTCTCCTGCCCCCAATGGCTGTTACCCTGCCCTATAGAAATAGAAGTCACCAACTTGCCATGACATTTCTGGAAGAGTGTCAAGATTTATTCCAGGAACATCTTTCTCTCTTCATTTCACCAGCCTTTCCCACCATAGCCCACAGTTGCCATCATTATTGTCTATAGACTTTGTAAACTTCCTTGATACCATAGCTACACAAGCAATGGAATAATGGAGTGTTTGTTTTATTTTCTTTAAAATTAGGTGTTGTGAGATTTAGAAATTTATAAAACAAAAAAAGAAATTTAAAAGGTAAGTTTTGCAGAAAGCATGACATCACAGTCAACATTTCTTTTTCAAATTTTCTCTTTTCAGGTCAAAACCGATGACCCAGTTCTTCCAGAAGAAAATCAAGCCAGCAAAGAGTACCAAGCAATAGTGTACTCATCTCTCAGCCAAAGTTACCTTTATATTGACTGGACTGAAAACTATAAAGCTTTGCTTGTAGGACAACATCTGAATGTTATTGTTACCCCCAAGAGTCCCTACATTGACAAAATAGCTCACTATAATTATTTGGTGAGTACAATAACGATAGAGCTATTACCCTACCTGGAACATTTTCCTTTGCTTCTTGAGAAGGATTAGAATGACCCTCTCATTGACGCTTACAAAGTACTTTTAAGAACATCGTTGTCTTGGTTACATAGTGCTACCGTAACACAAAAACCAGAAGTGGGTGCCTTCAAAGAACAAAAACTTAACTTTCTCACATTTCTAGAGGCTAAAACTCCAAATTAAGAGCTAGGCCATATAGATTCCTTCCTTGTGCCCAGGTGTTACTTGGTTCCTTGGCATTCTTTGGCTTATACATGATCCTCTCATGGCATTTGTTTTCCCTGTGTGTGTGTGTCTGTGACTGTTCTGGTCTTTTTATAAGTCAGAAGTGATTAGATTTTAGGATCATCTATACTCCACTGGTATGACCTCCTTAACATAATAAAAAGAAAATCCTATTTGCAAACAGGATCACATCCACAGATACAGGGATTAGCATGTCAATACATATTTTTTTCAGGGAGGGGGCACAATTTAAACCATAATAATCATCTCATTTGATAATCAGTTTTTCAAAAACTTTTGAGATAAGCCATGATTTTTATAACCATTTCACACATGAGGAAACTGAGGAACAGAGAAGTTGAAAGACTTGCCATGGTCACTCAACTTAAAAGAGGAAGATTTTGATTTGAGCTCCTCAGTCTGATACTGAGTCTGATTTGACTTCTGGTCTGATAGTCCTTTCACCAAATAGAGCCTGATTATTCCACAGAGCCTAATTAAATTATCTTGGTCAAGTCTCAGACCAACGTATTACATCTGCTCTATTTAATGGCCAAAGATTATGTGCATAGGCCTAGTTTAAATGTGTATGTTTCATTGGCATAAAAGGGGCACCCAAACCCTGCTCTTCAGAGTTGAATGCCACCATCCCTCTTTCCAGTACTGTTGCTCAGCAGTGCCTCTGTTGCATCACTCATACTAAACAGGAGGTAGATCAATCAAGTGTGCTGGTAAAACCTGGAGAAGAATGTGCAAAAAATGTTAAAGACTTCAAGACAGTTGCCAAAGAAGTGGAGAGAATTATTCCAGTGACCAGGCCAAACAGGTGGTGATGGCCTTTTCAACGTTTTTGAGGAACAAGTTTAAAAAAAATAAACCACAGAAAAACTTTAAGAACTAGGAGAATGTTTATGAGCTATGTATCAATACCATATCTACAATCTAGCTCTCTAAGGACATTTAAGGGAGTTTGAGGACATTTTGGCTTATTGTGATTTGTTATTTTTTTTTTAACCTTAAGCATTCCATTTAGAACTTAATCCCTGGCTTTAAAATTTAATCCCCAAATAAGATACACTACACTTAACTATTTTTTTAAATCAATGAAACAGAGGAGGTTATAATGACAGTGTGACAACTTTAGACAGATCTGGGTTCAGATTTTAGCTTTCTAACTTCCTAGTTATGTGATTTGAACTAAAACTAGTATGAGTTTTGGTTAGTTCCTAAGCCTCAGTTTCTTCATCTGGGGAATGGCAGTAATATTCCTATCTCACTGGTTTATTTGTAAGAATTAAAGGAGTTAAATAAATGTAAATGTTCTGTCACATAGTAGGCCAATTAGTATGAAGTCTCTTTTCCTTTAACATAGTTTCTACCTCAGCTCCAACGCTCCTTCTGAAGCACAGGGTTGTTTTTGTTTTGTTTTGTTTTGTTTTTATAGTTACTTTTTGCTGCTGCTATTTATTTTAGATTTTATCCAAGGGCAAAATTGTACACTTTGGTACAAGGGAGAAACTTCCAGATACATCTTATCAAAGTGTAAACATTCCAGTGACAAAGAACATGGTTCCTTCAGCTCGGCTCCTGGTCTATTACATCGTCACAGGAGAGCAGACGGCAGAACTGGTGTCTGATTCGGTCTGGTTAAACGTTGAAGAAAAGTGTGGCAATCAGATCCAAGTAAGTCACCAAGTGTAAATCCCAGTCCAATTTTTTCCTAAATTAAAGAGGCTGTTCATGCCTGTAAAAAGTTCTGTCATGTACAGATGACCTTTTCTTTTCTTTTTCAAATGACCTTTTAGGTTCATCTATCTCCAAATACAAATCAGTATTCTCCAGGCCAACCCATATCTCTTAATATGGCAGCTGAGTCAGATTCATGGGTGGCTTTAACAGCAGTGGACAGTGCTATATATGGAGTACGAAGAACAACCAAAAAGCCCATGGAAAAAGTTAAGTAGTGCATTGCTGTGCTTAGGGTGCATGGCGTGGCTCAGTGTAGTGATTCACAAAGTGTGGCCATCAGGGTAGGTTGTGGAGACAGAAGTAAGAAAAAAATTTCCAGTTTCCATTGAGTTGATTCTGACTGATGGCAACCCAGTGTGGGTCGGAGTAGGACTGTGCTCCACAGGGTTTTTAGTGGCTGATTTGGCAGGAGGAGGTGCTTCCTCTGCGATGCCTCCAGGTGAACTCGAACCACCAACCTTTCGTTTAGTAGCTGTGTGGTTTGCACTATCCAGGGACTCCAGAGGAAAACTAGGCCTGCTTTTATATAATCTACTCAAAACAGTGGTTCTTAGAAAGGTAAATCATCCTCATGTTAGTCCCCATGTTTTTTCTTTTTTTTTCTCCAAGTGCAGATTTAAGCACATGGAAAACCTTGAAAACATTGTGCCGAGTGAATTTAGACACAAAAGGACAACTATTGTATGATCCAACTTGTATGAAATATCTACAATAGGCAAATACATAAGACCAAAGCAGATTAGTGGTTACCAGAGGCTAGGGAATTAATTATTAATTAATTAATTAATTAAAGGGTACTTACTATATTGTAATGATTAAATTCAATTAAAGGGTACTATATTGTAATGATTTAATTTTACCTAAAGTAATGTCTGGTAGCATAGTGGCTAAGACACTTGCCTGCTAACCAGACGGCTGGCGGTTCAAACCCACCAGCCACTCCTCGGAAGGAAGGTTGGGCAATCCTACTTCCGTAGTGATATTGCCTCGGAAACCCAAGGAGGGGTCGCTATGAGTCGGGGCCGACTCGACGGCACATAACAACAACAACAATAACAAAGTAATGTGGTCTTGCCCTGTTTCTTGAGGGTTAATCCTAAACCCTTGGATTTTCTTGAGTAATTGAGATACCTTTGTTAATCTAAACAATGCCTGGTATCAACTAACTTCAGGAGGCATGATGTAACCTACCATACATATGCAGACAATGAGGCCTCAATAATGATTGAGACCAATATATGCTTAGAACTTGGAGGCTCTGAGAGCTTGCTGATTGGCAAAGGAAGGTTGACACACCCTTTTTAGGATATAGAAGCTTCGAGTCGGAAACCCTCCAAGATCTTATGATGATCCTGATTTGTATCCTTTTGTTATAATACATCTGTAATTGTAAATATAGTACTTTCTGTGACTTGTATGAGTCATTTTAGTGAATGATTGAACCTAAAGGAGTAGTGGAGTAGTGCCCAAGACATTTGACTGCTAAGCAGAAGGCTGGCGGTTCAAACCCAATAGCCATCCCTCAGAAGGAAGATTGGGCAATCTACTTCCATAGAGATACCACCTTGGAAACCCAAGGAGGGTTTGCTATGAGTTGGGATCGACTCAACAGCATTGAGTTTGGTTTGTTTTTTTTGGTTTAAAGGAGTAGTGGGAGCCAGCAGGTGAAAGTGAGGGAACCAGGGGGGTGGGGGAGGCCCTGATCTTACAGCTGTCATCTGAAGAGATAGTGGGCAAACCCTGAATTTACAGCCAGTAGGTCAGAAGTAAGGGTAGCATGTGGATCCTCATACTTTGTGGATGCTACTCTACTACTCACTGCCGGTAAGTCGGTCCCAACTTATAGCGACCCCTCCTTGGTTTTCCAAGGCAGTATCACTATAGAAGTGGATTGCCCAACCTTCCTTCCGAGGAGTGGCTGGTGGATTTGAACTGCCAGCGTTCTGATTAGCAGTAAAATGCCTTAGGCACTGGCATCTGCCTATTTGTCAGTCTGAAGAACAGTGCCCTTTCAACTTTTGAGCTCTGACCTAGCGCCAGGTGGCTGGAGGCAGAGACAGAGAGTGCTGTGTCAGAGATTACTGAAAAGTGGGAAAGTGGGGATTTGATTAACTCACATTTTGAGAATTGGACTTATGTTATTATACTTGAAGTGATGAAAAAGTTTTAGAAATACGTAATGCTGGCACAACATTGTAAATGTAATCATTGTCATTGAATTGCACACTTAAAATGGTTAAAATGGCAAGTGTTATATGTATTTTACCACAGTTCTTAAAAAGGTCAATTTACATATACCAACATAACAATTTAAAAAGCATATGGCCATGATAGCAATTACATTGGGAAGGCTGGAGGTTATTTTTTTATTTGTTTGTTAGGAATATAAAAGAATATATTCTTAGGAATATAAGAGAAGGCTGGATAGGTCACCTATGGGTTTATTTTTTATTTTTTAATCTCATTAACATCTGTGGGGCAAAAGAACTTGGAAGTGGTTCTGTTCCCATTTATCACCACTACCCTTAGCTACTATTTTCTTGACTTGAAGTTGTTTGAACAAGAAAGAGAAAATGTGAAACTATAAAATTAAAAACATGTAGAGCAGAAGGACCATTCAGGGGTTAAAATTAAAACTGGAGTAGCCCCTAAAAGAATTCTCACCCAGTTAGGATCTAGAGCCCTCCTCACAAAGATCACAAAAGGCTGTACTGTTTTTAGCAACTTTAAAATTAATTTGTTTGTTAAATCACTCATTCATGCATTTACCCATTTATTCATTCTTTTTTCTCTTTTTTGGACATTATATTGGTTGCAGCATGCATTGTTTGTACAAAATAACATGGGTCAGTTTCTGAGAGTCCCCTCATCAAAGCTATTTGCTTAAGATTTAGTTCTTGATTTAATTTTGAGTAGGTATGTATTTATGAATATACAAAAGAATAAAATTAAAGAAATAAAGTTGAGAAGACTGGGAAATTTGGTTTTTGATTATTTGATAAGTGAGTGACCTGTGTTTTTCACAAGTTTGTTATAACCATATAACAAGTAGTACCTTTAGTGTTTTGGGGGAATGACTTATACATCCAAATAGGCTCAACATTTTGCCTTTCTGGACAGGTATTTCAAGCTTTAGAGAAGAGTGACTTGGGCTGTGGGGCAGGTGGTGGCCGCAACAGTGCTGACGTATTCTATCTGGCAGGACTCACCTTCCTCACCAACGCAAATACAGATGACTCCCAAATAAATGGTAAAATGTTCAGGTTTAACAAAACATTAATTACTAAAATGTGCATTGATAATTTGCCTCCTAGACCTCATTTTTTGTGCCTCCTGGAAAACATATTCTATGCTGATCTTAGAATCACATGACTCTGTTACTCCCCTGGATGAAATGTTTCTCTGACGGTCAAGATAAAGTACAAATTCTTTAGTGTAATGTCAAAGCCTTCCGTGATCTTCTCCCCGCTCTCTAGCTTAATCTCTCATCTTGCTCTACCTCACCTTATATTTAAGCCTTACAGATAGTCCTTGGTTGACAAGATAAGTCTTTACCCATCAGGACTGCTTTCCTGTTTATTAACCTGGAGAAGTTAATGAGAATCATCTCCTGTACAGGGCCTCATCTAGTCATTCCCTCCTTTATAGAGACAATATCATACAGACTATATCCTTTTACAAGTAATATAATAACAGAGTATCATTGCATAATCTTACACTTGCTTACTCATATGTCTTGTGACACCCACAGCACTGTGAGTTCTTTAAGGTCTTCCAAGAGATCACATCTTAATTATCTTCTTTCTATGGTTTTAAAACTGTTCATAATTATGATACTATAGCATTCAGGTTTATATTTGTAATAATATATCACAAAAATAAAAATAACATACACAACAAAACTTTGTTGACTCTAAATGCTTAGGTACTTTCTATAATCAGTGGATCATAGAAGTTGTAGGGTTCAAAACCAACCTCGAATCAAGAGTCAAACTAGATGACATCAGAGCCTGGCTCTACTCAGAGAAAACAAGTCACAGTCAGATGTAGGGTGCACCATGCCTAATCCAAAACAGGATCTCAGTATGTGTTGAATGAATGACTTGTGAGTGTTTAAAATACTTAAATAATTGTGTGGACATGGATTTTGTTTGTTTGCTTTGTTTTGATTTTAAATTTTTTCTTATTTTTTTTCCCTCTTCTTTTTTTTTTTTTTTTTTCAATAGATGAACCTTGTAAAGAAATTCTCAGGCCAAGAAGAATGCTGAAACAGATAATAGAGGAAGAAGGTACTCAAAAAGTTTCATGTGATTGGAAAAAATGGTTATGAACATACCGTTCAGGAGCTGGGGAAAATTGAACCTTATATAATCTCCCTTAATCAAATACGTTGGGTGAAGAGAAGATATGTGCAGATGCCTAGCTCATCTTCCTCAGAAAGATTCATCCAAATAAATCCAATAGCTCATTTCTTCCTCTTGCTAGGTGCCATCAAGTCAGTTCTGACTCAGTGACCCTGTGTACAACAGAAGGAAACACTGCCCAATCCTGCACCATCCTCACAATTGTTGCTATGTTTGAGCCCACTGTTGCAGCCACTGTGTCAATCCATCTGAGAGTCTTCCTCTTTTTCATTGACCCTCTACTTTACCAAGTATAATGTCCTTCTCTAGGGACTGGTCCCTCCTGATAACATGTCCAAAGTGTGTGAGACAAGTCTCCCCATCCTCACTGCTAAGGAACATTCTGGCTATATTTCTTCTAAGACAGATTTTTTCCTTCTTCTGGCAGTCTGTGGTATTTAAATATTCTTCACCAGCACCATAATTTAAAAGCATCAATTCTTCTTCAGTCTTCCTTATTCATTGTCTAACTTTTGCATGCGTATGAGATGATTGAAAATACCATGGCTTGAATCAGGCACACCTTAGTCCCTCCAGATGACATCTTTGCTTTCAACACTTTAAAAAGGTCTTTTGCAGTAGATTAGCCCAGTGCAATGCTACTTCCATGGGTGTTGATTGTGAATCCAAATGAAATCCTTGGCAACTTCAATATTTTCTCTGTTTATCATTTCAGTGAAAGCCATTCTTACTTCCAAGGAGCATTCTGGCTATACTTCCTCCTAAACAGATTTGTTCATTCTTCTAGCAGTCCATGGCACCTTCAATATTCTTTGCCAACACCTCAATTCAAATGCATCAATTTTTATGATCTTTCTTATTCATTGCTCACCCTCACATGCATATGAAATTATTGAAAATAAAATTCTATGGCTTGGGTCAGGTGCACCTTAGTCTTCAAACCGACATCTTTGCTCTTTAAAAGTTTAAAGAGGTCTTTTGCAGCAGATTTACTCAGTGCAATACGTTGTTTGATTTCTTCACTGCTGCTTCCATGGGCAGTGTTCTGGTTACCTAGTGCTGCTGTGACAAGAATAGACCACAAATGGGATGCTTGAACAAATAGGAGTTTATTCTCTTACAGTTCTGGAGTCTAGAAGTCCGAGTTCAAAGTGCCAGGCTCTAGGGGCTATGTGAAAGCCCCTCAACCTTGGTCTTCAGCTCTGCCTCTTGCTTCCAGCCCACTGAAGCTAGAAGCATCTCTTAACTCAGGCAGCTACTAGCTGCTGAGGCTAACAACCCCAAGGTCTACAAATAAAATGGCACAGTCCTGATGTTACCAAACCACATGGCAGGCCATTAATTCAAGTCCATTTTAAGTCCAAAAGTCGGCAAAGCATGGCAGTGAGTCAGCTCCATGCAGGGTCCAAGTGTGCCATAAGCTAAAGACTATCCCCAAGGCTTCTCTTTTTATACAAGAAGCAGACCACATCCCAAAGGCAGCTACTCAGCTGCTTGTGGTAAATCCCACCATGGAGTTGATTGCCAGTCTCATCATGGGGAATAACTACCACCAGCTGCCCAGCCACTCAACCAGGTGCAGCCAAGTTGACATACAAATTTAACTACCACAGGCAGTGACTATGATCCAAGTAAAATGAAATCCTTGACAGCTTCAATCTTTTCTCCATTTATCATGATTTTGCTTATTAGTCCCATTGTGAGGATTGGTGTAATCCCTATTGAGGCTGTAGTCTTCGATCTCCATTAGTAGGTGCTTCAAGTCCTCTTCACTTTCAGCAAGCAAGGTTGTGCCATCTATATATCCCAAGTTGTTAATGAGTCTTCCTGCAATCCTGATATGGTATTCTTCTTCATATAGTCCAGCTTCTGAGATAATTTGATAAGTATGGTGAATACAACCCTGACTTACCTTTCCTGATTTTAAACCATATAGTATTCTTTTGTTCTGTTTGAACTGCTCTTGATCTATGTACAGATTCCTCATGAGGACAATTAAGTGTTCTGGAATTCCCATTCTTTGCAATAGCTCGTTTACCATAGCTTTAATCTGAGAAAAATACCCAAATCCACTGACTCAGGGTGGCCCTGTGTTACAGAGTGGAACCAAGCTCCATAGGGTTTTCTGTTCTGTAATCTTTATAGAAGCAGATCACCATGCTTTCTTCCACAGTGCCATTGGGTGGGTTTGAACTGCCAACCTTTCAATTAGCAGCTGAGCATAAACTGTTTGCACCACCAGGGACCTCTCAGGAAAATAGGTCTTCATTATTTCTGTCTGAAAAATCAAAAAGATTAACATGATAAAATTCATGATTTAATTAACTTGGGATACACTTACAAATCTATTTCTTCTATTTCATATGTTAACAATTCATAGAATTTTGAATTATTCTTTAGAGAAGAAGTTTACTTTAATAATTAAACAAGTCAATTATAAAATAATTATTTAAATGCTAATGTTATAATTGGTGATGTTAAATAGAAAGAACATGAACTGAGACTCAGGGGTCTGAGTTCAAGTACTAATCATATTCAGAGTAATAGAATAATTCCTCCCATTTCTATATGAATTTTCTTAATTCTAACCTTTGTTCTAAGATAATGGTACGAGAAGAAATGCACTGATTAACTTGAGCACATACAATGAAGGATGCCATTAGTGAAGAGTGCACAAACCATGCCATATAAGAAATTTTTTTAGAAATAGAATATTTAGCTTGAACGATATATTTGTATAGTGGTGATAGACATCTTCAAATATTTAAAGATTCTCACATATGTAATGTATTCTACTTAAAGAGTGCTGAATCAATGATGCTTGTTTGGGCAATCTACTTCTGTAGTGGCATCGCCTCAGAAACCCAAGGAGGGGTCGGTATGAGTCAGATCTGACTCAGTCGCAGTGAGAGAGTTTGAAAAATTATTTACCTTAGTTGCAGGAAGCCTTTTAACCATTTAGTGTAAAATGGAAAGGACTTCCTAATAGGTAGCATTCTCCCTATTTGTAGAATAGTTCCAAGCAGAGGCTGATCCATCAACTAGTCATGGCTATTGTGGGAAGGAGGTCATGGGTCAGAAGAAACAAGTATCCCTTGAGATCCTTACTAACGCTGAGATGTTATGACTCTATGCATGATCAGGTGTGCTTGTGTTATTACCATTTCAGCTGCTAAATACAAATATGCAAAGGTGAAGAAATGTTGTTATGATGGAGCCTTTCGGAACGATGATGAAACTTGTGAGCAGCGAGCTGAACGGATTACTATAGGTCCAAGATGCGTTGCAGCTTTCAAGGAATGTTGTAACATCGCAAAGAAGTTCCGTGATGAAAACCCTATTAAACCTATCCAATTGGGAAGGCTACGTAAGTTTGACATTTCTACCAGAATTCTGCCTGATAAAAGGAACTTTGTACTGCTAAGAAATAGAGTTTTTTTGCTCTGTTTAAAATTGGAAGTAGAAAAAATAAGTTGTAAATGCCCATAAGAAGAAAAACTGTTATCATCTTTGGGAATTCGGACAGGTATGGTACAGAGCAGAGTGTACTAGTCCAGAGTCAAGGCCCAGGACAAACTTCAGGGACAACTTATTCTATAAAACTGAATGATGATTTATTATCTCTGAGTTTAATCTCCTCATTTTCAAAGCAAGATGCTTGGACCAGGTGATCTCCAATATGCCTTTGAGTTCTAAACTTTTATGGTTCTGTGATATTATAACACCAAAAATTCTGTTTATACTTACGCTAATTAAATATGGCATTAAAAAAAAAACAAAACCTCACTGCCATGGAGTCGGATCCAACTCATAGCGACACCTCCTTGGATGTCCAAGGCAGTATCACTAAGGAAGTAGACTGCCTGATCTTCCAAGATTTATAAATCTAGCCTAAAGTGTATTTGTATAAACAAATGAAATCTTATTTCTATTTCGACCATGATATATTTTTTTCAGAATTTATAGAACTCTCATTAACTTAAAAACTGTCAGATTTTTGTTATATATATATGTTGTTGTTGTTATTTGCCGTTGAGTTGGACCTGACTCATAGTGACCCCTCCTTGGGTTTCCAAGGCAGTATCACTACGGAAGTAGATTGCCCAACTTTCCTTTGGAGGAGTGGCTGGTGGGTTTGAACTGCCAGCCTTCTGGTTAGCAATCAAGTGCCTTAGGCACTATGCTACCAGAGCTCATATATATACTACACAAAAACAGAATGACAGCTTCTATTTCATAATCTGATTGTTTTGCTTAACAGTGTATCTTAAACATTGTATTAATGGATATACTTCTATGAACATGATTTTTATGGCCATTTACCAAAATCATGTTATTGGTTATTTAGGTTGTTTTCAAGTTTTTGCTTATTATAAGCAGTACTTTAATGAGCCTTTTAAAAGGAGCTCTGGTGGCATAGTGGATAAGGGACTTGACTGCTAACCGGAAGGCCAGCAGTTCAAACCCACCAGCTACTCCATGGAAGGAAGACTAGGAGATCTACTTCCATAAAGATTTACAGCCTCAGAAACCCAGTGGGGCTTGCTATGAGTCAGAAATGACTCAATGGTAGTGAGTTTTGAGTTAATGAGAAACTTAATTGATGTTTTTTTCACTAACATTTCAACTATAATAATAATCTGATTTGGTTTTAGCTGCATGGTATTAAATATTACTTTTTAAAATATTATACTATGGAAAGATTCTTCTACCATAGTAGAAAAGGCTGCATTTTTAAATCAGATTTATGCAGGTATAATTTATATTAAATATTGAATTCAGTGAGTTTTGACAAAAATGTACAGTTGAATAATAATCACCACCACAATCATGATGTAAAACATTTCCATCACCCCAAAGAGTTCCCTCATGGCCCTTTGCAATTAATCCTATACCCCTAACATTGGCCCCTGGCAGTCAATGATCTGTTTTCTGACACTACAGTATAGCCTTTTCTAGAATTTCATATAAATGGAATCATATAAGATGTAGACTTTTGCCTCCGGTTTCTGTCACTTAGTATAATTTTTTTTTGAGATTGATCTGTGTTATTACATTATTAGTAGTTCATTTATTTTTATTACTGAGTAGTATTTTATATACAGGAGCTCTGGTAGCATAGTGCCTAAGGCACTTGACTGCTAACCAGGAGGCTGGCAGTTCAAACCTACCAGCCACTCCTCGGAAGGCAGGTTGGACAATCTATTTCTGTAGTGATACTGCCTCGGAAACCCAAGGAGGGGTTGCTATGAGTTGGGTCCGACTCGATGGCACATAACAGCAACAACATTTTATATACATTTTTTATCCATTCACCAGCTGATAGACATTTGGGTTGTTTTCAGATTGGGAATATAGTGAATAAAGCTGCTATGAACATTCAAATACAAGTCTTTGTGTGAAGATAATGTTTTTATTTCTTTTGGGTAAATACTTAGGATTAAGATTATTGAGTCTTTGGGTAAAATGTTTAACTTTATAGGAAATTGACAAGCTATTTTCCAAAGTGGTTAAACCATTTTGCATTTCCAGCAATGTAGGCAAGTTCCAGTGTCTGTGTAGACTATTGACTTGGTAATGTCAATCTTTTTAACTTTAGCCGTTCTAGTGGGCAAGTAGTGATTTTAATTTGCATTTCCTTGATGACTAATGATATTGAGATTATTGTTCATTAATATATCTAATGACCATCACATCACTTTGTAATATGTTGATAAAACATGAGGTCTTCATTGGTTTCCTCTTAAGTATGCACAGATAAGAACTAAGCCAAAGACTCAATGGGTCCCTTCGGCAGATGTCTGGAACTCAATCTGTGCAGTAGACCCCTTGGGTCTCCCAAAACTTCCTCTTTCACTTCAACTCAGCAAGGCCACCAGGCTCTGCTTGGGTTCCCCTCCCTCACTTGAAGCCTATAAACTGCCTTCAGGCAGTAAGCTGGGCCAATTTTAGGATTTACCTGATTTGTCTCCCTTCTCCCAAGGATCGTAGTCCTGTGTGCTTATGTTCTAATGTCTGAAAACTGTTGCTTTATATATTGTGTCTGTTTTCTAACCTTTATTTTAAGGCAGAAGGTTAACTTTACTCCCTATTATTATATCTTGGACAGGAGTTCTGTCTATTTTTATTAAAGTAAATATAAATAAACTTCTGAGTTAATGAAGAGAATCTCATAAAACCTTCCTATTTTATAATGTAAACACAATTATTTCAGTTATAAAAATGTAAATGACTTTATAGGTCTTGTATAATTTCAGGAACATTAAACATTTAACTGTATAAGAAACAAATTGTTAAAGGTATTTTCATTATTTGTTTCATTTGTCAATACTATTAGTGAAGAAATCCTAAGGCCTCTATGGTTGTATTTTAATATCATGAAATAAAACGTTTCATTGATACATTTCAAAACCTTCCAGAAAATGCTTAAATTATAGATAAATGGCCATATTTTAAAAGTTGGCTGTAAGTAGAACTTATGTTGTTTTGCCACAATTAAATATACTTTTTACTCCAGATATAAAGAGCCTGTTACCAGTAAGCAAGCCAGAAATTCGAAGCTATTTTCCAGAAAGCTGGTTATGGGAAGTTCATCATGTACCCAAAAGGTATTAAATTTCTTTGACATTCCTCTGAAAAATGTGGAAAATTGCAAATACTATGGCTAAAAATCTGGAAACTACCCATCTCCTAATAGTTTATTTGAGAGTTGAGATGATACTACTATTTGGTCAAGTTTTTTGTTCATTTGTTTGGGTTTTGTTTTGTTTTCTCTAGTTATTGGTTCCAGGGCAAGATTAACCAACCATTGGTGAAGAAACGTCCTATTCCATTTAATTTCATTTCACTTCAATAAGCTTTTACTGAACACAACTATGTGCTAAACACTATATTGAGCACCTCTTTCATGCTAAAATATCTGCTCTATAAAACAACCACTGATTAATAAAAGGTTGTTTTCTTGTTAAAGTCCTTCACTCAACACATTTTTATGAAATGCCTACTCTGTAATAGACACTGAACATAGTAAGCACCACCCTTCCCAGATGGGCTGCAAGCACTGACTTTCCAAGGCACTGAGTCTAGAGCCTTGCAATAGCCTTCTAATATTAGTTCTCCTTGTCTGCACACTTGCCGCTCTCTAATTCTTCCTGTATTGTCTTATCTGTTTCATCTGACATTTCCCTTCAGCTAGCACTTCCTCTGGTAAGGCTTCTTTGGCTCCTTCTCACTCCCTGCTGACCCTCACCTCCACCAATCTGTGCATTAGGTACCCCTCCCTATTCTTAACCCTGTTGGCATTTATCACACAGTGTTGTAGTGCCCTGATTTCTTGTCTTTCTTCCATATTAAATTGTAAATACTCAATGGCAGGAACTAAATTCAGATCACTATTTTATATCCAGGACCTGGCATAAGGCCTGGCTTGTGGAGGCACTAAAATAAGTTAAAGGCACACTGCCTTTAATGCTTTATTGGTACAGTTATTACAGTGAATTGTAATTTATTTACTTAACTATTTCTTCTACTGAACTGTAAGCTGCTTGGAAACAAGATTATATCTTTTAAGGCTGTATACCCCAGATACCAAGCACTTACCATGTCTTAGAGAAAGTTGGTAGCCAATAGCTACCTACTGAGTAAAAAAATTAATAAACTTTTTTTTTTCAGAATGTTTTTGTTATGAGCAGTATTAAAATGTATTTTTTAAAGAACATAACACAACATGAACCTAATTTTTTCTTTGTGTTACATATTTTGATTTGCAGTGTTTCAATGCATCTTTCTAAATATGAATTCTCATGATGCAAGTATAATGTCTAAAGACATGGAACATGTAGAGGCAGTGAATATAGTTTTCTTCTTTGAGTTTTCCTTAATGCCAGATTTGAGTTTGTCTCTTTGTGATTTGCTTCTTTCTTCTGAAAGTAGTATGAAACGAAAATTGTTAATGATTGCTTCCATCAAGTCGGGTTAATCAATGTTCCATTGTATTTGAACATTGACATTTTCACTTTTAGATATCAGTTGGAGTTTAAGCTACCTGATTCTCTAACCACCTGGGAAATTCAAGGCGTTGGTATTTCAAATAGTGGTAAGTAAGCTTAAACTTTCATATTCATTTAAGGAGTGATTTGCTTAGCAAGATGTAGTTCCTTAGTATTTTAGCTTAGTTTTTGTTAGTTTAGCCAGGACGTAAATGGTTTTCCTTTTTAAAATATTATTTTTTTATGTGTTACCAAAAAAATTTCATATACCCACATCTTTGAACATACTTATTTCTTCTTTTGTTTTTCTATTAGCCATTACTTTATAAATGCTGATGTCAAATGGCCATTTTCTCTAGCTTTCTCTCAGTGACTAGGAGCTTGGGTAGAAGTAAACGCTGACATGTGACTATTCTTCCTGGCTTAAGGAGCTCTGGTGGTGCAGTGACCAGGACATTTAGCTGCTAACCAAAATTCTGGCATTTTGAACCCACTAGTGACTCTATGGGAGAAAGATGAGATAGTGTGTTTCTGTAAAGATTTATATAGCCTTGGATACCTTATAGGACAGTTCTACTCTGTCCCGTAGGGTCACTGTGAGTCAGGATCAACTCAATGGCAGTGGGTTTTTATTCCCTGGCTTGTACCCTTATTATTATTTTTTACTGTGGTAATATATATATAGAACATACAATTTGCAAATGTAACCATTTTGAAGTATGCAATTCCATGGCTTTAATTATATTCACAGTGTTGTGCAACAATCACCACTATTTGCTTCTAAAATATAATGTATATAAAATATAATGTAATATATAATATAAATGAAATATAATGTTTTCAGAGTTCATCACATCATAGCATATATTAGAATTAATTCCTTTTTATAGTAGAATAAATATTCCATTGTATGTACTTACCACATTTTGTTCATCCAGTCATCTGTTGATGGTCACTTGCATGTTCTCTACCTTTTGGCTATTGTGAATGATGCTGCAAAGAACGTTGGTGTACAAGTATCTGTTAAAGTTCCTGCTTTCATTTCTGTTGGGTATATACCGAGGAATGGAATTGCTGGGTCATATGATAATTCTAGTGGCTAAGGCACTTGACTGCTAACCAGAAGGCTGGCGGTTCAAACCCACCGGCCACTCCCCGGAAGGAAGATGGGGCAATCTACTTCCGTAGTGATACTGCCTCGGAAACCCAAGGAGGGGTCACTATGGGTCAGGTCCGACTCGACGGCACATAACAACAACAACAACAACATGATAATTCTTAAGGAGCTCTGGTGGTGTAGTAGTTAAGGTATTTGGCTGCTAACAAAAATGTTGGTGGTTCAAACCCAACAGCCACTCCATGGAAGGCAGTCTGCTTCTGTAAAGATTTACAGCCTTAGAAGCCCAATGGGGGTCACTATGAGTTGGAATCAACTTGATGGCAGTTAGTTTGGTTTGGTTTGGGTGGTAATTTTTTGTTTAACTTTATGAGGAACTGCCAAACTGTTTTTCATAGCAGCTGAACCATTTTACAATCCCACCAGCCATGGACAAACCAAACTCACTGCCATTGAGTTGAATCTAACTCATAGTGACCACCCTTGGCTTTCCAAGGCTATAAATCTTTATGAAAGCAGCCACAGAGCAGCTAGTGAGTTCAAACCACAGACCTGTTGGTTAACAGCCAAATGCCTTACCCCCTGCACCACCAGAGCTCCCAATGGACAAGGGTTCCTTCAATTTCTTTACATTTTCTAACACTTGTTATGGTCCATATTTTTTATGATAGTCATTCTGATATTCTAGTGGGTGTGAAGTAATATTGCATTATGGTTTTGAATTGTGTTTCCCTAATGACTAAAATAATGCTCCTTTGTAGTGACACACTGTAGTGCAGATATTTTATAAATAGCTTCAGGATTGGTTTTGCTTATTTGTTTTGCTGTTTTTGCAAAATCTTGGCTTCCACAACCAAAATTTTATACCCATTAAATGGAGCCAGTAATGAAATGGCCTAAAAGGGATGTGAAATTTCCATCTATAGACGAATGAAAAAATAAAATGTGGTACATACATACAGTACAATATTACTCTGTAAGAGAAATGGAAGTTCTGATACATGCTACAACATGGATGAACCTTGAAAACATTATGCTGAGTGAAATAAGTCAGTCCAAAAGGACAAATACTATATGGTCCCACTTACAAGAAATAGGCAAATATATAGAGACCAAAGCTTACTAGTGATTACCGGGGGTAAAGGGAGAAGTGTCATTGTTTAGGGGACACTAAATTTCTGTTAATGGTGGTGAAATAATTTGGAAAAGGATAGTGGTAATGGTTGCAACACATGACACACATAATCAATGTCACTGAATTATACAAGAAAAAATTGTTGAATTGGAAAATGTTTTGTTGCATATTTTTTTGTCACAATAAAAAAAGGGATTTATTGCTTTAGTTAATAAGTATTTTATTGCTTTAAATTAAATATTTGTTGAATAAATGAAGTGTTCTGTTAATATCAATAATCAAAATATGATCATATATATATGTATACATATATACATATACATGTGATTATTATACATATACATGTGATTGGTATACATATATATATGTATACATATATATGTGATCATATTTTGATTATTGATATTAACAGAACACTTCATTTATTCAACAAATATTTAATGTAATGCAATAAAATACTTATCAACTAAAGTAATAGATCCCTTTTTTTTTTTTTTTAATTGGAGCTCTGGTAGCGTAGTGCCTAAGGCACTTGACTGCTAACCAGAAGGCTGGTAGTTCAAACCCACCAGCCACTCCTCAGAAGGAAGATGGGGCAATCTACTTCCGTAGTGATACTGCCTCGGAAACCCAAGGAGGGGTCGCTATGAGTCAGGCAACTCGATGGCACATAACAACAACAACAACAACAACATGTATATATGTGTGTATATATATATATGTATAGGTATATAGATAGATATAGATAGATAGATAGATAGATTACTTGAAGTAAAGCAAATGTGAGATATTCTACTACTAGTAAAGTGTTATGGAAAACCCCTAATATGCTTTTACTTTGTTTTCACTTTGGATTGAAGGTATATGTGTTGCTGATACTCTCCAGGCAAAGGTGTTCAAAGATGTCTTCCTGGAAATGAATATACCATATTCCGTTGTACGAGGGGAACAGATTCAATTGAAAGGGACTGTTTACAATTATAGGACTTCTGGAATACATGTAAGTAGGTATTTATGGTATGGGAAAATAAAAAGAAGAATCTTCTGATTTTCTGAGAATTCTATTAGTGGAATTACTACACATAAAAATAAACATTTAACTCAGTTCAGCAATATAAGATAGTTACTTACAATGAGTATTATCCCATAAAATTTTATTGAAACACAGCTACAGTAATTTGTTTATAGTTGTTGTTGTTAAGTGCCGAGGAGTCAGCTGTGACTCATGGCAACCTTATGTACAACAGAACGAAACACTGCTCAGTCCTGTGCCAGCCTCACAATCCTTGCTATACCCAAGCTTATTGTTGCAGCCACTGTGTCAATCCATCTTGTTGAGGGCCTTCCCCTTTTTCACTGACCCTCCACTTTACCAAGCATGATATACTTCACTAGTGAATGGTCCTTTCTGACAACATGACCAAAGTAGGTGAGATGAAGTCTGGCCATTCTCACTCCTAAGGAGCATTCTGGCTGCACTCCTTCCAGGACAGATTTGTTCATTCTTCTGGCAGTCCATAATTTTTTCAATATTCTTTGCCAACACTACAGTTCAAATGCATCAATTCTTCTTTGCTCTTCCTTATGCATTGTCCAACTTTCATTTGCATAGGAGGCAATTGAAAATACCATGGTTTGGGTCAGGCGCACCTTAGTCTTCAAAGTGACATTTTTGCTATTTAACACTTTAAAGAGGTCTTTGGCAGCAGATTTGCCCAGTTTAATATGTCATCTGATTTCTTGATTTCCACATCCATGGATGTTGGCTGTGGAACCAAATAAAAGGAATTCCCTGACAACTTCAGTCTTTTCTCCATTTATCATGATGTTGCTTATTGGTCTAGTTGTGAGGATTTTTGTTTTCTTTATGTGCAGGTATAATCGATACTGCAGACTGTAGTCTTTAATCTTTATCAGTAAGTGCTTCAAGTCATCTTCACTGTGAGCAAGCAAGGTTGTGTCATCTGCATATCACAGGCTGTTAATGAGTCTTTCTGCAATCCTGATGCCACATTCTTCTTCATATAGTCCAACTTCTCAGAATATTTGCTCAGCATAGAGATTGATGCATACCCTTCCTGATTTTAAGCCATTCAGTATCTCCTTTTTGTGTTTGTACAACAGTCTCTTGGTGTGTGTACAGTTCCTCATGTTGTTGTTGTTATGTGCCGTCAAGTCGGACGTGACTCATAGCAACCCCTCCTTGGGTTTCCGAGGCAGTATCGCTATGGAAGTAGATTGCCTCATCTTCCTTCTGAGGAGTGGCTGGTGGATTTGAACCACCTCATAAGCACAATTAAATGTTCTAGAATTCCCATTCTTTGCAGTATGTCATAATTTGTTATGATCCACATAGTCAAATGACTTTACGTAATCAATAAAACACAGATAAACATCTTTCTGATGTTCAAGGTTGTTGTTGTTGTTGTTATGTGCCGTCGAGTCGGACCCGACTCATAGCAAGCCCTCCTTGGGTATCTGAGGCAGTATCACTATGGAAGTAGATTGCCCCATCTTCCTTCCGAGGAGTGGCTGGTGGGTTTGAACCACCAGCCTTCTGGTTAGCAGTCAAGTGCCTTAGGCACTACGCTACCAGAGCTCCGATGTTTAGGGTTAGTTCCTATTAATTATCTTCCCTCTTGAGTATGGAACATACTTTCCTATTTTATCGTATCTAGTAATTTTTGGTTGAACTTTGGACTTTACTAATGAAATGCTATAGAGACTATAGATTCTATTATGATCCTCTGAAGCGTTTTAATTTCCATTTCTGTGTTAACAGTTAACTTGACTTAACTCAATTCCAAACTCTGAAATCTCAGTTCAATTCTGTTAGCCTTCTCTGGGATGCTTGGATTCTGTGTTGTTATTTGTACTTCATTGGTGAGCCAGATTTGAGCAATGTTTATACACAGAACTTGGAGCATCTCTCTAAAGCTCTCTCCTTCCTGGGATTTATGCCCTCACTTTCTAGCTTTGGTAATTGCCCCATACTCTGTCCTCTTATTCTTCAAATCAGTAAGCAACAGGTTTCTTGTGGAGATTTAGTCACTCCTTAAGTCATTCCCGCCTAGATCCTGGCTAGAGAGGGAGAACAATGTGGAACAAAACTCAAAATCATTTGGGGAAAAAAAAA